CCGTAGACTTTGGCCAGGTGATTAAACAACTTGCTCTGTGCCCATTTCATGCTTCCACGTGGCACCCCGGAGCAATGTAGCTCAGGTAAGAAAGGCTGATCCAAAAAAATGCGTATGCACGTGACCAGGGCCAGCTCGGCTGGGTGTGGTGGATGGTGTGTCTTGAAGAAACAGTGCCAGTTTTGTTCCTTACCTTACAAAAAAGAACAACAAAATAAATACATTTTCAGATTTAAAATACTCTGATGATTTTTCCATATCAGAATCTTTTTAGGATCCTAAGAGATAATAGCAGTGTGCAGTCCCCTGTGCAACTTTGCCCACTGGTCGGTAGAGAGCACTTCTCTTAAAATGACTCCTTTAGAGACTTGACTTGTGCAAAGTTTGGAATGCCCTTTATATTGATCATTTAAAAATGAAGCAAAAGGGGGTAGGAAAGGATGAATAAGCAGAACGCAGAGGAATTTTAGGAGAGTAAATCTATTCTGCACGATAGTATAATGGTATATACATGTCATTATTACATGTGTCCAAACCCATAGAATGTACAACACCAAGAAAGAACTCTAATGTAAACTATGCACTTTGGGTGATGATGTGTTAATCAATGTAGGAGCAACAAATGTACCACTCAGGAGGGAAGGGGGGGATATTGATAATCAAGGAAATCTCTGTAACTTCCTCTCAATTTTGCTGTGAACCTAAAACTTCTCTAAAAATAAAGTCTATTTAAAAGAAAGTTTAAAAAACTAAAATAAAATAGATGACCTTTGAAGACACTGTGCTAAATGATATAATAAGCCAGCCACAAAAGACAAATTCTGTGACTCCGCTTATAGAAGGTGCTTAGAGTAGTCAAATCTGGAGGCAGAAAGTAGAATTGCAGTTGCCAGGAGCTAGGGGGAGGGAGCAGTAGGGACTTGCAGTTGAGTGGGTACAGAGGGAGCTTCAGCCTGGGACGACGGAAAAGTTCTGGAGATGAACAGTGGTGCACAACAGTGAATGTGCTATCACTGAACCGTACACTTGCAAATGGTTCAGTTAATAATTTTGTGTTCTCTATAATTTGCTACAATTAAAAAAATAAAGCCCTGGCTGGTGTTGCTCAGTGGATTGAGCGCCGCCCTGCGCCGCCCTTTTGATTCCCAGTCAGGGCACATGCCGGGGTTGTGGGCCAGGTCCCCAGTAGGGAGCATTGCAAGAGGCAACCACACATTGATTCTTCTCTCTCTCTCTCTTCCTACCTCCCTTCTCCTGTCTAAAAATAAATAAATGAAATCTTAAAAAAAAAAACAACCCAAAGTAGGGTGGGGAAATAAACTGAGGTAGTAAGTGAGTAGGGCAAATAGCTCTTGGTCTGTTGGAGTATGAAGAATATAACAGGACTTTGGCTTTTCTTGGCTGCATAAATTGTGATGACTTCCTTGCCCCATCCCTCATTTTCTCTGGGAACAGTGAATGATAAGGGGAAAGGATCTTTAGCTACAAAAAAGGCAGCAGAAATGATCTCTCCTCATTTAAAACAGATTCCTTCCCTGCTTAGAGTGGCCCTCTCTTCTCACTCTCCTCTGAACAGCACAGACTGCCAGACTGGAAATGGCAGCGGAGCCCTGCACCTTTCATACAGAGTAAGGGCTCAATAAAAAGTACTTGTGAAAATTGACAAAATACATATTTCATAAAGCATCTTTTTAAAAAACTGCTAAATGAGAATTTACTAGGAAGGGAAAGGCCCTTCCGCAACACAGGGGTTCCCTGGGCTGACTTTATATATCTGCCATTATTTTATATCTGTTATATAAAATAACAAGGGTGACAGAGTATTTTGAGATTAAATTATACCTCCCCCAGTATTTTCCCTTTTTCCTGTGTCCTTACTCAAGCAGTAGTTGAGTCTTTCTTGTAGAACGAAGAGCAGAACTCTATAAAACGGTCCTTAGAGATCTGGTGAAGTATATGCTGAATCGGGCCGGCAGAGAAGCTAGATGTGGCCCCTCACAATATTGATCTGGACAGTGTCTTCTGAAATTTAAATTTGTAGCCTTTTAAAAATTGGGAAGCTTCACATACAAATATGGGTTCCTGGTTTTTCTTTAAAAAAACATTAAGATGACTCAATCAACCTTGTTTGCCGACAGGGCAGTAAGTAGCTGGACCTGAGGTGCAGCTGTTGCCTTTAGACTGGTGCATTAATTGGGATAACATGAGCCACGGGAACAAATAGCTCCTCAGATTTCAGTGGCAAAACATAAAGGAAGTCGATTTCTCACTTATGTATAACAAGCCCAGAGCAGGCCGTTCATAGACAGGGACTCCTTCCTTCCTGTGACTCCTGGGGGCCTTGGGGTTTTGATTTCAGTCTCTGGAATGGCAAAACGCAAGTGCCAAAGCACACCATTTCTTGACCACCTTGCTCTGAAAGTGACATCCTCTGCTCCATTCCATTGGTGGGACCCAGTCATGTGACCCACCTAGCTGCAAGGGGAGCTGGGCAATGTGGAGCCTGGCTGGCAGTCACTTCCTGGTGATAACTATTCCACTGGAAGGGGAAACACAAACATGGGGTGAGCTTGTGCAACTCTGCCCCAAATGGGCATGCACATTCCAATATACCAGAGCCTCACTACCACCATGTTTATCCCGGAGTGGTCCCGAAAGCTTTGGGGTTTGTGGCCCAGGCTTAAGGTGTTTCTGGACAGGGTGTAAGGAGGAAATATAGAAAGTAAAGAATTCTTCCTAGGATGAAAAAGAGATTTCCTTGGGCTGGGAGGAAGAGAGAGGCCAGAGGAACCCTGGGAAGAGGGTCTGTGTGCCTCATTTCCTCGTAATATCATCTAGGAAACTGTGATACCGTGGGAGGAATGATTGCACGGCACGTCTTGGCAGCTAGGATGATAGCCACCTCCACCCCACCCAGACACCCTGTGTCCCCCGGGGAACACAGAAGCAGTAAAGAGCTAATCGACTGATGTAGCCATATAAACCTGGACAGTAGAGACAACTCAGCCAAATTTTCTGGGGACAGAAGAACAACTGGCTGTGTGGTTCCCCTCCTCCCCAACTCAGTGGTACTGTGTAAATCCCTGGGCTTAGGGACTCGAGGAAGGAGGGAGGCTAACTCCTTCAATCCCACAGTAGATTAGAGGCTAGAGGTCTACCACCAAGTCATTACATAAAATAAATGATAGGTGACAATTCTTGCATATGAGGTTATGTACTGAGATTCATACCCTTGTTAAAGAGAGAACCACAGGTCCAAAATGGTGTCACTTGTGCTAAAGGCCCAGGATACCAAACCTAGGTTTAATACCTGATCTAGTTGCAGTTTCAACCTCTCTGAAATGTAATCTTAATCAGTCTGGATTTTTTTCTGGTCAAGCACTGGTAGTCTGTCACATAGGTCCCTCCTCCATTCCCCATAGAAAGAAGCAGCAACAGGTATGATAAAACACTTGCCATTCCTTTTCCCACAACAGAATATAGCCTGGTCTAAAAATGATCTTTCTGTTGTTAATAGTTCCTTTGCCCCATTCATCTTTCTATTAAAACCTTCCACTTTGTACAACGCCTCCCAGTGCCCTCTTGTTGCTAGATGGGATGCTGCTCAAATTCATGAATTGCTTAGTAAAGCCAATTAGATCTTCAAACCTACTCAGTTCAATTTTAACATCTTCCATGAAATTTTGCAATTTGCTAAATGAAGTTCCTGAGGAAGGCAGTGACCTTGTTCATTTCAGGTTTTTCTAGAAACTTTGCCTTCCAACTCCCAAACCCAAAGCATTCCCTCTCTTCTGGGCCCCATCCTGCCTACAGACCAGCAGAGCAAACAAAAGCCAAAACCTGTCAGCTTACAAGCCTTTTAAAGGGGTGGTTGACACAGGCACTCCAGCTCCTGGCACATCAACTTTGCTCAAAGATCTAGGAAAATATTTTTATATTCAAAGGAACTAGGTTAAACTGTGGCATAGAATGCCAAGTTCACATTTTTAAAAAAATGATGAAATTCCAGACTTCAGGGAAACTTTCTTTCAGGGAAAGGGGCCTCCTTGTTTCAGAACCCCATGTGGATGGCCAATGGAGTTCGAGATGGATACTACTGTAGAAACGTTTGAGCACTGCTGGCCCTGCGCCCGGCCTGGCTCTGGGCCCCTCCCCTGCAGCTCCCCAAGGCTATCGCATTCCTGTTAATATCTCCTCACGTTTCTAAACTCACAGCTTGTTGGCGCTGGCGAACCTGAGACCTATTGCCGGGTTCCAGCTCGCTGGTTTCACCAGAGGGAATGGAGAATCAGCAATTCTAAAGGACTTGCCTGGGGTGGGCGGAGGAGGGGGGGACACCCACGTTTCCCAGGCCAGAGATCCTCCCAGAATCCTTAGTTGCTTCCATCTTTTGATCCTGAAGGAAATCTGGGCCCCAGGGCATATGCGAAGAACTTCATCACCCACCCACCCTGGACCCATTCTTCACCCTGTAGATCAGTCCTTGGGAGTCCTGCTTCTCCACTGGAGTATCTGGCGCCGTGGGGGTGCTTAGAAAAGTCTGAGAGAATTAATGACTGCTGCTTCTGAGACAAACGCATCAGCGCCCAGGGGCTGGTGGAAAAGACATGGCTGGATGGGAGGAAGGGGGTGCGATTTGCTCCGCATCTCCTCTTGCGGCCAAGAGAAAGGGTCTGGGGTCAGAGTTGGAGGACTGGAACCAGCCTGATCCAGGGCACAGGAGCACGAACGCAGGTTAGCCGGGGAAGCCTTTTCCCTCCGCCCACGACCCTGTGGGCTGGGGCGCAGCAGAACGGGTTGGCTGGTGCAATCTCCCGCACGCCTTGCATTGATCCCAGAAAGGGCTGGAACAGTACACCCTAGCGGGAGCAATGGCTTCCGGCCTCGGTTAGTGAGTACGACCAATGGGGATACGAGCGCCACTACGACCAATCAGAGCAGGGCCTGCTACAGTGCGGACCAATCTGGGGCGCCAGCCAGGCACTGGAAGAAGCCAGAGGGTCGGCATCCGTAACACACTCGCTCTGCCCACGCGTTCCATTCTCTCCTACTGACTCGCCGCCTGCGCCGCAGCAGCATGGACGCCCCAAGGCAGGTGGTCAATTTTGGGCCCGGGCCCGCCAAGCTGCCGCGCTCGGTAAGTCCCAGCGACCGCGTGGTGAAAGTGCAGTCCCAGCGTGAGCACGCGCGCGAGTGGCTGTGCATCTCTGCTCAGGTAGCTGAGCATCCTGAGCGGGTGGCTGTGCATCCCCGCGCCGGGCGCTGGGATCCCCATCCCTGCCCCTAGTCCCCCGAACGCTCTGCACCAGAGTGCACCCAATTGATGATCTCTCGCAGGGGTTGTTCTGGAGAAAGGCAGTTGGGGGAGGAAGCTCGGGAAACATGCCTGTGAAGCTGCTCCGAGGTGTGCACGACTCTGCCCGCTGGGGCGTAGCTGGCATGTCTCTGTAACACAAGTGGAGACTCCTGCAGACTACTTTCTCAGGCCTCAGCGCGGATGCGGCGGAGAAGAGAAAGCCTCTCATTCTGCGTTAGCCACGCGGGCAGGGCGGGAAGCCAGGCAGGTTTGAGTGGGTGCATGAATGGACACTGTGAATGAATGGCGAATGGGGATCGCGTTAACTGGAACGGGTTGCAAACTGGAGGGCCACGCATGCCTTATCACCCACCTCTCCCCCGCCCAGTAAACAGTGTTTGGGTTAACCAGCACTTGGGAACATTGCTTTTAAAAAATGTACAATAAATTTGGAAGCATTCCAGTTCCTTCTTGTCCACCCCTAGAATCCACCCTTCTCTTAAACCCTTTTTCTCAGCTCTGTTTTGCGCGTCCGGTTTTTTGTTTGTTTGTTTTTTAAACCGATTTGTCCCCCAAAGGCATTAGAGGATTCTTACTCTGGTAGTTTTTGGGCTGCTAGCCTAGTTTGCCTCACTTTGTTCTGGAGCCAAAGTATGGTTGAAACCTTCCCCCGTCCCGGCCCCCTGGGCCACAACTAGACCTTTCTAGTGCGAGTGGCACTCCCTCCCTCCCTTCCCAACCCCCAGCCAGCTGCTAGGTCCTTGGCTCCCCCGGCCCCAACCCGTGGCAGCTGTGAAGAAGGCAAAGTCTCAGATGTGCCTTGAACACGTTGTCTAGCTGCCGCTGCTGCTGTTAGATTTTTATTTTTCTAACCAAGTTGATTCTGATAATAGGTTGTAGCAACATGAGGCACCACCAAGTACTTTACAATTATCTTTTGTTGAACGGGGTAAAGTCTCCCTGGGACAGAGCCTCCTCTGTATTGTAAAAACAGAGAATCTTACAATTTCAGAAGGGAAAGGACATCTTACTTTTCAAGGGACAGCGCTCACAGTAGCTGAGAGAATAAGACATTTTCTTTCCTCTGCGATTGCGGTCTGTTTTAGGCGATTCTGTGCTAGAGCTGTGGAAATATTTCCTGTATCCTCCTCACCCTTTTCCCCTCTTCTGTGTTCAGAGTATTGTTCCCTGTGTAAGTTGTTATGCATTTATTATAATGGCAGTTGTCATCAGTAATACAATTACTTGTTTATTATTTATTTTCTGGGGAGAATTTTTGCCCTCCAATGTGCCCTGTAACCGGGGGAGCAGATGTTGCTTTGTATGTAACTTGATTTAATTGAATTAAAAGGATTAGAGAAGCTTTTCAAACTTTGACTGTAATCCTAGTGGAAAATATGTGCGTTTTACAAGATGACCAAGTACATGCCTGTAATTATAACTAAGACAAAAGCCTTATGAAATAGCCTAATTAACTACAACATGCACAGTTTGTATTCCACGTTAGTCTGTTCAGTTTCATTTAAAAAATACTTGTGACCCACAAAAGCATTCTGCATTGTACAGTTTGAAACTCCATTGTATTAAGAGGGCTGTGCTTTGTGGGTGGAAGCTTTAAAACTTTTTGTAATGGTTTTGAGTATAAACTTATAGATGTCTTTAAAGAATACTATCAGTAAGAGAAATAGAAGTTCAAAGATGGGTCTATCACAGATGGGCATTTCTGTTTACCCAAGGGAAGGATTCTTTCAAGTTTATTTGATCAGCCAGGGCTAATAAGCATCCAGCAGTTTGCAAAACAGTGACAAACTCTTGAACCCCCTTTTCAATGGAATATTTTTTGTCTAACTATTGTTCAAATAGTGTTTTTTCAGATAAGTCACAGTCCAGTTTAGATGGTTTTATGATGTCCTCCTTAGCCTGTATCTTTTAAGGCACCATCTCTGATGGCTGGATGCTTCTACAGAGGTCTTACCTCACCTATTTTGTGTACATTTTTTAGTTTTTCTTTGTCTCTTTTTACTTTGTGGCAGTTCTCACAGACACTGAAGTAGAAAGGAAGTAATGTAAAGCCATCCATTGGCCTGTCTGAGATTTAACAACTATGGATATTTTTCCAATCTTGTTTTACAATCCCCCTTTCCACCCTCCCCTCGCCCCCATCTTTCTCCCTTCCTTCCCCAGGATTATGTTAAAGCCAATGCAGGTATCGGCCATTTCACTTCTAAACACATCAGCATGCATCTCTGATGAGGGCTTGCCATCCTTAAAAAAATAGGTATTTTCCTTTTCAGTTTGTAGTTACTGGCATTTTACTTGCCTTTGGGAAACAAAAACAATGGGTGTCCTCCCCAGCTAGGAGAGAGTTAGCCTGGCCCTCACGCTCCTCCCTCTCCCTTTCCTGGCACTGGGATTGGCCCTAAACTGGGCTCTGTTTTCTCTGTTTTCCTGGTGAGGTGGAACGTGGTTATGGGACTGCAGTGGTCCTATGAGATGGGTTAAGGGGCTGGCCAGCGCGTACAGCTAAGTCACCCTCTGGATCCTCAGCTGAGATTTCTCACCGGCACATACATTAGAGGCAAGAATATCACCCTCATGGCTCAGTTGTTGAGACCGAAGATCTGTACATCAGTCACCCCTGAGGAGTCCTAATTCACAGCAGAGCTACCTAGTTCATGCCCATCCCACCCATCCCAGTCACCTATGCCAGTAGTGTGAATAATTTAGTTACCTGTTTAATTTGGGGCCTGGCCTATTTCTTTTTTTTTTTATTGTTCCCTGAACCCAGAACTTTATGCATTTTGTACTTTTGCTTTAAGACAGTGGCAAATGAGATTGTGGAGGAGACATATTCTAGTTTTTCCCAATGTTTTTTCCTTGATGTTTAAAGAGTTGCCATCAGAAAAATTGTATACGCGCTCATTTTCTTTTAAATCCAAGTTATTTTTAAAAAATATCTAAGTTAATTCATGCCTTTGGAAACTGTCTCCTAGCATCAGTCATGTATGGTAATTTCACACTCAACTTTTGTGAAATTTGCGTCTTCTGGGCTCTGTGGGAGAAAGGGGATTGGCTGTGGGTGGGGATAGAAGCTTCCTGATCCCACAGGTTCTGTGGGTAGATCCCCATCCCTTACCCCTCCCCACCCTCAGGTTTGTATGTCCAGAAGGAGAGCTGTGCACAGAATATTCAAATCACCTATTTTCTTTTCTTTTTTTTCTCTAGGTATTGTTAGAGATACAAAAAGAATTACTAGACTACAAAGGCATTGGGATTAGTGTTCTTGGTAAGATTTACTTTTGGATTCTGTGAATGTCCAGGTTCCAAAGGGAACTAATTTAAATGTATCAAATCCATAATTTCTGTAGGGCCTTTCTATAGGCCTTTGTAGATCTATTTTTAAAATTTAGTAATTTTAGTTCCATGTTTGATTGAAGTAATTTTGCAGTCAACATAAACATAAATGCTGGTGGAATTTAATACATCTCGGCATTTTCTAATTGGTTTTGCTATTTTTAGGAACTGAAATCAGAAAGTTCTTATTGTAGCCTTGGTCAGGTGATCTAGATGGTTGGAGCGTCATCCTGTACATCAAAAAGTTTGCAAGTTCAGTCCTGGGTCAGGGCACATACCTAGGATGTGGTTTTGATCCCTGGTCTAGGTGCATATGGGCAGGAACTGATTGATGTTTCTCACATCAATGTTTCTCTCTCCCCCGCTTCCTCTCTCTCTAACATCAACAGATGTATTCTCAGCTGAGGATTAAAAAAAATTCTTACTGTACATTTCTGTATCAGTGTCTCAAACATTTATAATATTGCCTCATGTTCATTTAGTTTTTATTACACTTATAAATGAACTGATTAAAAGTTTATAAATATACAAGATTATTCTGTAGCTCTTGCTGAATTAATAATTTCATTAAGTTTCTCTCCTTTATATGATTGGGGAAGAGGACCTTTGAGTTCTAAAATTTACTTTATTTTATTTATCTTTTCTTTTTTTGTTTTGTAGTTCCAAAGACTGCATAGTAGTAAGAGACCATAGGGGTTAATTGTATGTTCATTGCTATTCAATATTGTTTCTGTGGGTTGGGACATTAGATGTCTGTGAAGTGAGAGCATAGTGTAGACTTTTGTCCTTTTGCCCCAAAGGGCAAACATTGCACATGTATTTATGTCTGTGAGAGCAGAGACTGAAACTGCCACCTGAAAAATCATTCTGCTGTGATATATACGAGGTCTGTTCAGAAAGTGTCCAGTCATATAATGTGAAAACTAGAGACATTTATTGAAGAAGGTACAAGATTCAAGAAACATTGTGCATAGGACAGTGCACCGTGGGACCTCCAGTTTCCCCAGGGTCTCTTCCACTGTTCAAAACACTGCAGAATCCTTTGTTGGAATCGCCATCAGCTGCCATGTCTTATTTTCCTGAATCTCGTGGTTGGTCTGAAATCTCCTCCCTTTCAGAGGTGATTTTAGTTTTGGGAAAAGCCAGAAGTCACAGGACACCAAATCTGAGCTGTAGGGGGGCTGAGTCACCTGGGTGATTTGATGTTTCTTCAAAAACTGTGCATGAGACATGGTGCATGAGCGGGCGCATTGTCCTGATGAAGCTGCTGATCACCAGTTGCCCATCGCTGCAGCTGTTTTAGTTGTCTTGCATCTCTCAACTGGCAAAGGACATTGAGGTGGTACTCCTTATTAATTGTTTGGCCTGGAGGGCCATACTTACTATGGACAACATCTTCCCAATAAAAAACGCAGTTAAACATGGCCTTGATCTTGTTGCGACTTTGCCACACCTTCAGGTGTGGAGAACAAGGCAACTTATGTTGGGGGAGCTCGGCCTTTGTTTATGGATCAGAGCCGTAGACCCACAATTTATGTCCGGTTATGATGTTCTTCAGGAAATCTAGTTCATTGGTAGCAGTTTGGATCAAGTCATTAGAAACTGCAGCACTATATTCCTTCTGCTCTGGTAGCCGAAACCATGGAATGAATTTTGCCACGACACATTTCATGCCAAGGTCCTGTGTCAAAATCTTGGACACAGTAGTTTTTGGACTCCCCAGATCAGCTTCTAGTTCTCGCACTGTCAGTTGCTTGTCTTTGTTGATTGCAGCCCATACACAGGTCAACATTCTTAGGTGTTCTGCTTGTTGCAGGCCTTCCAGACTGTGGATCACTTTTAACAGATTCCCGGCCATCTTTGAAGCACTTGTGCCACATTTTTATTTGTGCTGCACTCTTTGCATTGTCCCTGAAAGCCTTCTGAATCATTTGAATAGTTTTCACAGAGGAGTGTCCAAAGATTAATAGAAAATTTGATGCAAATTTGTTGCTCGACTTGCTCATTTTTAAAGCAATGGCTACACAGAACATGCTTACTCAACGGCGTCTACTGCCCCCACTGATTAGTAGAGTGAAATTTTTTTTCATGTGTGCACGTTCCAGTCCACCTTCTTTGGCTGCCAGGTTACGTCAATGCCACACAAACCACACAAACCGTTCTTGTTATATTAACAATGGCTGGACTTTTTCTGGACAGACCTCCTAAGGCTACAAGGCTTGCAATTTGAAAATCAGTTTGGATTATCTCCTAAATGAATTGAGTCTTGGCCCACAATTTGAATGCAAAATAACTGACATTTCTACTTTTTTACTTGCAAATTTTGTTTTGTTACTTGTGTTCATTTGGTTTTGAACTGGTACTTACGTTATTGTTTATCTTTCCTTCCATAGAAATGAGCCACAGGTCATCAGATTTTGCTAAGATTCTTAACAACACGGAGAATCTTGTGCGGGAACTGCTGTAAGTTTAAAATTTTAAAGACCAAACTGCATTACTTTTGCGTGATAATATGTATACCTGGGCGTCTGTTACATTACTTTCTATACTCTGCTGTTTAAAATATTTTACAAGTAAAAGTAGTCTTGTTGAGAGTCTCACAAATTTGCCAAGTTAGTACATAATGCTTTTTACCTGTTACCCATCCTGCATTTTTGTGTTTTTGTTTTATGTAGTATGTCCAAAGATTTGAAATCATTACATCTAGGAAAGATTTTTCAGCAGTTTAGAAGTTCAGCTGGTCTAACAGGGGTTTAAATGACAAAGAAATGGTCATCTTTGTCGCATTATTAACCACAATGTAGTTCACTGGTTCTGGAAGTGTGGGCCTCATTTAGCTTGTCAGAATTACCTGGGTTGGGGGGAAATTCAAATGCTGAGCCCTACCCAGACCTGCTGTCAGAACCTCTGTAGAAACTTCATGTTTAAAAGGCTCTTTGGGTTACTTTAAGAGTTTTGAGCTCCAGGAACTGCTCCTCCAACAGACTCTCCTAGGTTATCTGTACTGCTTTTCTTATTCAGAGGAAACCTTATTCTTAAATACATTGCTATTTAAAGGAGAGGTTTTATAATATCAATATAGTCCCATAAATGAATATAGTAACCTTGGAAACACACACCTTTTTTCCTGCTCACAAAACTAGTGCACTTTCAAGATAGATAGTTTAGAGAAAACAAACTCATAAATTAAACTGGAATTATCTATAACCCCACTAGTCGGGGGTAATCATTGTTTACATTTTGGGGTTCATCTGTGTGTTTTTTCATTAACAAAATTGGAATTGTACCAACTGCTTCATTACCTTCCTTTTAAATTGCCTTGGTAAGTGCTTCAGATGGGAGCGGGGTCGGTGCCATTTTTGTGAGGAGTAGGAACCCATTGCAATGTGAATGTTAACAACTGATGATCTTCTGCTTGGCTTCAAACACCAGGTCTGCCAGCTGGGTCATATTCCATGTTGACAGAACTATCCTATCCCTTGTGGAGGGAGTATTTGGAACCTTGGCCCTATGTGGCATTTGACTCATGTGGCTGTGAGCCTCTTGAGACTGGACTCTCAGTTCAATTTATGGGCCCATCCCCTTGACTCCTAACCGAGTCCCTGCCTTGTACCCCTGTGCCTAGGCCTCTCTTCAGCATCCTTCCATTCAATTCTTGGCCTTGTTAACTGCCCTGCATCTGAAAAACATAACCCTGGGACCCTGCCTTGGGCTGCCAGTCCTCCAGCTGCTGAAAGCCTCATGGATAGAGCCTCCCAAGGCCCGCCTGCATGCTTTGCTACCCTGCTGAGCACAGAGATAGGCAGGGAAGGCTCAGAACCAGGTTATTTGCACACCACCTATTTCCCAAGACCCTTTCCTACTGCCTTGCCCTGTGGTACTTACGCCTCTGCTGGGCTCTGTCTCCTGCTGTCTGCCTGTTCCTAAGCTCTGACCTTGCTCAAAATCTCGGGTCCAGGTTCCACTGCCTAGTCCTTCTGGAGCTGGCCTTATCATGCTGCTGGTAGTCATCCAACCATCGTTTTTATTTTCCATGCTGGAGTGAAAAAGTTTCACTCTTAATCTTAAAGTGTATTGGGTGCCTGATTATGTGATTAGACCTAAGGCATGAGCACAGATCCTTCTCCACCTGCTTCATAGTATGGGCCAGCACATAAATTACTTTTAGGACTTCTGGTTGCAATAGAAGCCCAACTCCTGGCCTAACCAAAGAAAGGAATGTATTGGCTTGTTCTCTCACTCACCCGTGCCTTCCTTTCCTTTCCTCAGGGGTGTTATCTTTGCTTTCCTTCCCCTAAGCTCCACAGACCCTTCTTTTGCCTCTGTAACTTGTGTCCTGAGCCCACGCAGCCCACCTGGCTCACTTTTTCTACCTCTGTGGCTTTCTAAATAAACTTTAACTTGTATTGGGAAAAAAAGAGGAATGTATTACCTTGCATGATGGGAATGTCCAGGACTGATTTAAGAGCTCAGATGATGTCAGAACATTCTTTTTTTTCCATCTCCTGGCCCTGTTTTTTCATGTGTTAGCTTCATCAAATGGCCACCATTGGTTGCAGGGTTAGTTCCTACAAGTTCCTTCTTTCCCTCAATAGAAACAGCTCTTCTTTCCCAAAAGTTTGATCAAAGGTCTCAGAACCACACCCCATTGGCCAACTTGGGCCATATGCTCATCCTCTTGAGCTGGGGTTGGTCATCCTTGAACTGTGTGGACTGAGAATGGCACTGGAATGATGCTCTAAATGAGCAGCAGAGTGTTACTAGCTTCTGTCCAGACAGTAGCTGTAGGCTTCCACCACAGGGCCAATAAGTAATTGTCTAAGACGTGAATAGAAAGCGACTGGATCAGGGACGGCAAAGTGGTAGTGGGACTTCCCCGTGTTTCTTGTGGTGTATCCAGCCAAGGTGAATCACTCACTCTCCGTCTTGTCTGTACTCACTGTCTCCTGTGCTTCTGCCCAGAGCTGTTCCAGACAACTACAAGGTGATTTTTGTGCAAGGAGGTGGCTGTGGCCAGTTCAGTGCTGTTCCCTTAAACCTGATTGGACGGAAAGCAGGAAGGTGTGCCGACTATGTGGTGACAGGAGCTTGGTCTGCTAAGGCTGCGGAAGAGGCCAAGAAGTTTGGGACTGTGAACATTGTCCACCCTAAACTTGGGAGTTACACAAGTAAGTGCTGGGAGCTGACGTGGACAGTGTAATGTTCACTGGCATGTGGTCCCTCCTCAGATATCCAGTTACACATGCTCAGGACATTCTGCACTGGTTTTCATTTTGTTGTTCTTCTTGGTCAGTAGTTAGTTTGACACCAGTTAGAGCGGATGGCTGTACTAGTTAAGACCACTGAGTGGCTGCTGCAGACAGCGCATTCATGAGCTCACTTAGCTGCAAAGCCCAAGATCTGGTTTGGCTTTAGGTGTGGCTTGATCAAGGGCCCCGACGCTAATTCCAGGTCTTGGTGCCTCACTGTCTCCCATGGTGGTTCCACAGTCAGGAGAGCTGTCCCCTCAGTTTTAGAAGATGGTTGCAGCCTCTGTTGACCTTATAGTCTCCCAACTTTCAGTGCCTGTGCTTAAGCATTCCCATAACAGTCCCATGTCTCATGTGTCCCATTCCAAATCAGTCATGTGATGGCACCGGAGTCACACTCTACCTTTGGGGTTTTGGGTGGAATTTGTTCCACTGGAACCACATGGGCTGAGAATGAGGGAGGCCAGAGCCCCAAGAGGAAAATATTGGACCATCAGGAGACATAGGATGACAAGAAAAAAACCCCCAAAGCTCACCCGTCATATCTGAAGATTTAATAGTCAGCAGAGTGAGACTGATCATCCTTTTAGGATGGGGGCAGTGATTATAAATGCAAGATGGATAGGGTGCTTTCACTCATGAATGCTTTGGAATCGGTGTTTCACTGCTAGGACAGTGGTGTTATTCCTGGTTCACTCCATTTACATAAGGAAAGAAGGAAGGAGTAAAAATGCAGTGTCTTCAACTTGTCTTCTGTGATAGAAATTCCAGACGCAAGCACCTGGACCCTCAGCCCTGAGGCCTCCTACGTGTATTACTGCGCCAACGAGACCGTGCATGGTGTGGAGTTTCACTTTATCCCTGACGTCAAGGATGCAGTGCTGGTTTGTGACATGTCCTCAAACTTCCTATCCAAGCCAGTGGATGTTTCCAAGGTAGAGTGAAAAGAGGGGACCCCAGCCTCTTGGTTTCTGTAAGAGCGTTTTAATGTACACACATGCCAGAACACAGAAAGGCTGGGCAGCCTCGGGCCAGCGGGGTCCCTGAGGCCAGGAGGCCAGCAGTCGCTTGTTTATCATGGATTGTCAGATATTTAAGTCCTGTGTCAATGAGGGCCTCACAGGGTCACACTCGAGTCCTTGGAGAATTGATCTGCCTTTGTCAGTCGCCCTTAGAAAATTTTTTGGTTAATACATTGGGAGCGGCTTGCTGACTTCAAGGGAAGATGCAGATTATCCAAGCTCAGGGTGTAGGAAGCCCACCTTGCCTTGTATCCACCTCAAGTCCAGGAGCATTCAGACATAGGTTTTGGGTGACACACCAAAGTGGGCAGTGGGCGGAGGGTACCCAGGTGCCTGCAACAAGGGGGTGTAACATCTGTAAAGAATTTTTAAAAAATGGCTAAAGAGTAATCTATCTTTAAAAAAAAATTGAGGTAAAATATACTTAACATAAAATCTGTCATTTTAACCATTTTTAAGTGCAGTTCAGTGGCATTTTAGGTGCATTCACACTGTGTGCAATCATCACCACCATAAATCCTCAGAATTCTGATCTTCCCAGACTGAAACTAGGCACCCATTACACACTAACTCCCTAGTCCTTCCTCCCCGAGCCCCTAGTGACCGCCATTTGTACTTTTTGTCTCTATGAGTGTGACCACTCTAGTTATCTCATGTAAGTGGAATTATACAATATTTGTCCTTTTGTATCTGGCTTATTTCACTCAGTAGAATGTCCTTGATGTTCATCCATGAGGTAATGTGTCAGAACTTCGTTCCTTTTTAAGGCTGTATAATATTCCACTGGATGTATATTTTGGTTATGGTCTGCTATATATCATTAATCATCATGCACTGTCAATTCTAAACAATGTCAACTATAAAATGCTCTGCTGGGCCAGGCTGTCTGTCCCCCCTTCCCACTTGGGACAGCACTTGGTTTCCCTAAGTTTTCACAGGGAGACATGGAAGAGGGTTCTATGTCTTACATGACAAAATTTCCTGAAGTACCTTTAAAGATCTTTTTTCTAAAATTTCTTCTCTCTCAGGCAGCTTATCTTACTACTTATCAGCATTTTTCCGATTGTCCCTTTCTATGAATACAAATAGATGAAAAATTCTGGGTTTCTTTTTAGGTTACCAAGGACATTTTTAGCCTTCCTGTGTAAAAGAGGACTAGCTTCGGTGTTGATGGAAAGCACGCAGAGTGGATATGAACATGCACGAGGTCTTTACAGTGACAGGCTTGGGCTAGCCCCTTCCTGGGGAGAAGGACAGGGCAGACCCTAATCTGCAGGCCTCTGAACGCATGAGTGTCTCAGACGGCCATTCCTGCAGAGAAGAGAGTACACTCTGAATAGGAGTGAAAGTGAAGTCACTTTCTTGTAAAAATCGTGTTTTAGAAAGAGGTTAGGAAGTTCAAGTACACTTATAAAAAGTGACCAAGTACGTCTACCATGGCATGTTTTCCTTATTTTCAGTTTGGGGTGATTTTTGCTGGTGCGCAGAAGAACGTTGGCTCTGCCGGAGTCACGGTAGTGATCGTCCGCGATGACCTGCTGGGCTTCGCCCTCAGAGAGTGCCCCTCGGTCCTGGAGTACAAAGTGCAGGCCACAAACAACTCCTTGTACAACACACCTCCCTGCTTCAGGTAACTGCGCTGTGCTGCCTGTGGGGTGATAGAGGGGGTCTGCTTTCCATCAGTGCGGCGGTGACTTTAGAGTGTGTTTCCATGAACTGGTGACCTAAGAGCCTGGAAAACTTTATCGGGAATCTCTGCGCTCATGTATCCCTCATTGCCCTCTGCACACTGTTTGATCATCAGTCTTCTAGCTCTTTTTTTTGCGGGGGATAGGAGGTTGTTTCTGTTTGATTTTGGTAGCCTTGGTGGTTCACCATTAACCCCAGTGCTCTCTGCAGGTGAAATGCTGTGCCTGCCTCTCAAACATCAGTGGAAGTTGGGAGAAGGACTTTCAACCGTTGGGCCTCCCCTGCTTTCTGTGTTTCTTTCCCTGCTGGGCCTGTGTGAAAGTAGCTCAGTGCTTGGCAGTAAACATACTGTCTGGGAACGAACACCTTCCTGGTTTTTCATCCAATCGCAGGGCTCCTCTTAGCTGCATTTCAGGCCTCGTGGGCCTGCCTGTGATCTTTCAGCTCCCAGACTCCGGTGGTTTGGGAAAGCCTTTGTAGCCTTTGTTTACCAATTGCCGGAGAGCTCTTACTACTAACTAGGTCTGTGACTTTGCGCACATCTTTTAACCTATCTGTGCAGCAGGTTCCTTCAGAAGTAATAATAGTACCCTCCTCATTGGGTTGCTGTGAGGATTAAATGAGGAATAAATTAGAGAGGGGGGGGGAGAGGGAGAGCGGCCTGGAGGAGGGTGACTTCCGATTAGAGCACAGCCTGGAGGAGCAGGGGGAGCTGCCACTCGCCTGACCCCGTCTGCAAGAGTTACTGTGAAACACACTTGAAAAAATGTGATGAATGTCACAAATGAAGAGAAACCGGTATGTGTCATGCAGTCTGGGTATGTTTACAAAGAGTAATAGAGAATAGAGTAAATTCTTTTTTGTTTTTCTTTTTAAAAGTAAATTCTGATCTTGCAAGTCCTGTGGATCTTTTGATACACCTTTGTGAAAAGAAAGACAACAATTACACTACTATAAACCTAGGACATTGAAGGTAAAATAGGAATTTGAACAAGTTGAGAAAGAGTTATATCAAACATGTAAAAAGAATTCAGATCTTTTAAGTACAAACAGTCCCCATGTTGCAGATACTCGTATGAATCCTGCTTGCCCTTGTTCTTTTGTAAGTGGCAAGTGACAACTGCGTTGTCTCACTGTTGTGAAATAGTGGCAGGGAGATTTTCGTACCCGGTAAATGACAGCAGGTATGGTGTCATTTGTAATTGAGAAGAAATTTTTATATCCAGGATGTGCTAGGTACTTAATTAATTTGTAACAAAGCTAACAAATTAACAAAGTAGATATGTATTCACATTTTAAAAATGGAAAAATTGAGCCTTAGGGCTTAAACTAAGTGTGGGAGCCAGTATTAAATGATTTTATGTCGTCATAGCCTAACCTCTTTCTACTGTGCCAACTGCTATTTTATGAGAAGGGAAACCCAACTTCCAACCACAGTGTTTGATGGGGAGGTGTAAGTTGATTATGGGGGCCCATGAACATTCTGAAATGAAGTGCAAAATTAAGTGTATGGGTGTTTCTCTTAGGAGAGTTTCTGTTACTCAGAACGTGTTTTCTGGGGGAGAAGGCTGTGACTGGTGTTCCGCTTTAGTGTGGAGAGGGATACAGGGTCCAGCAGAGTGGCTGCTTGAGTGTGGTTGGTAGGGTAATAAAAGAGGTGTAATAATTTATAGTTTTAATTTGAACATTTCACCTAAAGTGTCATATCGTGTGCTTGAGTGTGATATTGTTATGTTACAGAATTACATGCTTATGATTTCGTAGTAAAAGATTTTATAATAAAAAATGTAATGAATGTATTAATATGCTGTTTGTTAATATGAGGGGGGCAAGTCAGTGGAACAGCGAGAATGCAGGCCTGGCTGTCTAATGGGAGAGGACGGTGTCTGGGGTCTGACCTGGGGACACAGAGAAAGTCCTAGAACAGGAACTTTCTAATCGGGTCACTCTCCAGCCTTGGCCTCAGGCCTTGACCATTTGGGCAGCTGGTCACCTAGGGGTGGGTGGGGAAGACAGAAAGGTGGGGGCAGGAGCTCCCTCCCCAGAACTTGCCTGCCCGAGGAGTGTGCTGAGCCCGACACAAGGGCAGGAAAAAGCCAAGTTTCTTTCCCAGACAGATCAGAGTAGTGATAATCGGCCTGGGCAGGATGGTTAATATTTGAATAGAATCATGTAAATGTAGAACATGAAAGAGACTGGGTTAAATGTATTCTGCCGGAAGACAATTCCTGGAAGTTGCTTTGCTTTCTTTTGCCCCCAAAGAAGAGAAAGAGAACAAAGTAAAAGTCTGTATAATTGAGCAGTTACCCTGAATTTCTAACTTGAAGAGTGTAGATAGAGTTCATTTGCAGTGCTTAAAACATTCAAGTTAGAAAATTATAGCTCATCCAGTGAGAACAAACTTCATATACAGAGACATGAAACTATGTGCAAAACACCCTCCCTAATCCTTGAATGTCAGCTAAGACACTCAGAGCACTCCAGAACTTTCTATCACACAGAAATCCTTGAAAAGATCCGAGTGTGAAAAGAAGCCCTTTTTTTTTTTTTTTTAAATCAGAGCCAAGTGACCACAGGCAGTGGGAAATTTGTTTGAACTGTGCTGGATAACTGGCTTGCAGAGACTTGCCTGTAGCTCTGAGCAGTGAATTGGGGTGGAATAAAGGACACTTGGTCATTCTGTTTAACCCTTTAGTAGAACACCTACCTTAAGCCCAGTTAGTGGGTAAGCAAAAAGATGTCTACACTTTTTTTCTAAACCTGTAACAGTTTTTACTTACTATGACTAACTGTAAGTATACATTCTTTTTAGTTGCAATATGAAGTAGAGTAACTAATAAGAAACAAACTAACCCCACTTATTCAGGCCACCTTTCTTATCAGAATGGGCTCAGTCTTGTCCACCATCAATTCCAGAATTCAACTGCAGAGTTAGAATCTTTAGAACAGCAGGGAGAGTTTTCTGGCCACTCCTGATAGGTTTTTCTAAGCCCTAGTGTACAGGGAGTAGTTTGTATTGCTTTTAAAAATTTATGAAAGTAACACATGCTCTTAGCAAAGGTTTCTGAAGTGATCAGAGCCTCCTGAGGTGACCACGGGTAATCGCTGGCTGTGTGTCCCGACAGACCCTTAACTGGGCGTATGCACAGACAGGGAGCCATATATTTAATTATAAGAACGGAAGTTTCCCGTACACCTTGTTCTGTGAATTTTTATTTTCACCCAACAGAATATTATGAACATTGCCATGTCTGCTCACATGCCTGCCTTTTTATGTTATTCCACAGAGCAGATGTTCTGTGATTTATTTAGTCATTTCACAGGCAGGCTTAGATGGTAAACCTGTGCTCTGTGTTTGCAGGTGGCATTTTAGAAGTGAAAGCATAAATCAGTTAAAAGTGTTGCACTGATAGTGGGGAGAATTGAGACCAAGTTGCAAAGCTGTGTAAGCATTTTAGGGCCCTGTATTTTGAAGATTTTGGATTGTATGGGGTGGAGGATTGTGAGTGTTAATAATGAATCAGAAGCCACAGGAAAGTCACAGGTGCCAGACATCCTTCCATTCCAGGGATGTCTTCTGGTCCCTAGGAGAGCCCTCTGCCTCTTGGTGAGGCCTCAGACACCCAGGCTAGGGGTGCTGTCCGCGACGTGTGAAATGGGTCGTTTTTCTGCGGACTCTGCCTGCTCCCATGGCATTAGGATTAGCCAGAGCGCACGGGCGGCGAGTCTGAGCATGACAGCTGCCGAGAAGGTAGTGTTTCGGTGCGGAGGTCTGGCTGCGACTGGGGACCTGGCCTGGGCCTTGCAGTGCCTTTGGATGTGCTGGTCAAATTGGCACCTTGGGGATGGTGGGATCACCAAGAGCTGCAGGTGAAAGCGAACAGTGACCTCCAAAAAATGCTGTCAGAGAACGGGCACGAGGGTGGTTTTGCTTGGATCTCGTGGCAGGGTGTTTCTGTGGTTGGTGGGGAGCAAGCAGTTTTGGGGGATTCTGGAGTATCTCACAGAGCAGAGGGGTTGGCGGGCAGCATCGTATCTGGAACACACTCCTGTCCACACACGCACACATGTGCTGTGATGCCCCCGTAGCAGCCGCACTTGGTGACTGTGTCTGTGACGCCTGGTGCTAGCCTGGCTGCCCCACTAGAAGGTGAGATAGTGGCTCAGGGTCCCAGAGAACCTGGGAAAGCTGAGGTTCTCTGTTACTAGTGAAACATGCGTGGGCGTTGGAGTCAGACTGACTACGGTTGGAATCCTGGCATGCTCAGCCCCTTGCTGGGTGACTTTAGTCAAGTTAAGCTCTCAGCCTCAGTTTCCTCATCTGTAAAATAGGCTAGTGGTTGCTCGGGCCGCAGGCTGATTGTGATCCATAAAAGGGAGAACCACCATAAGCTGCCCGGTCTGAAGTAGACCTCGGTAATACTCATCGTCTTCTCTTATTTCTTTCTCCTTCGCCCCTCTGATTTTTCTCAGCCTTTATCTAGAGAGCTATAGCTGAGGCTGTATTTACCCCGCGTTTGTTTTCTGCCCTGCCCTCCTTTCTCTTTGTGCTATTAACTGTTATTTCTTATGCCTCCCAGGGCTGTCTGGAGAGCTAGGATGGGGAAGCTTCTGGAGAGGCCACGGCGTGGTTGTGGGTGCTGGCTGCTTTTTTCCCCGTTGCCCCCTGGGCAGCTCGGTGTTAGTTCCTGCCACCTTCTGGGGGTGGAAACGCCTGGGTCCTCCTCCTCTTGGATGAGACAATGAATGAGCGTCCCTGGGACAAGCGTCTGGCTATTAGAGTGTTTTAGAGAGGGGCTTTCAGAAGATCACTGGGGAAAGCACCCACCACTCTGTGTTTTTGGCTTAGTTTTGGACAATTAAAGATACTACCAACTACTACTTGTGTGGCGCACCTGCCATGTGCCAGGCCCTGCGCCAAGTACTCCACCCAACCCGTCTCCCACAAGAGCCCTGAGGTCTCACGGTGACAGAAAATTGAAGTATTTGGTTCTAAGCCTCATGAAGGACCAAGGTTCATTGGGTCCTCTTGGAGCAAGGACTATAAATCCCACCTTATCTGCTATTTCTGATCCTTGCTTCTCTCTGCAGAAATGTTGGCTACCTATTTTCCGATGAGTATCCTTCTAATGTCCCCTGGTCTCTTATCCTCAAACCTCACAGTTTCACCAACACAAGTCTGCCTCTTTCTGCTCACTCCCAATTCAGAGAATCCCGGGGAAGGCTCTGATTGGTCCAGTAGGTCCCCTGCCCAACTGTGAGACCAGGGGAGCAAGGCAGAATCTGCCTGTCGGGTGGGAAGGTGGAGTTGGGGAGAGCAGGGCGGTTAAAGTGCCAGGGTCCACCAGAAGTTGGCGGGTCTCCCTGGTTCCAGGGGGGAGAGCTGAGGCTTGGGTTCCCGAGGTGGCAGATCCTGGATAATCTGTTAGTAAGTGGCAGCGCAGGGACTAGAGTGACTCTGAGCCCACGCTCCGAGCGCTGTGCCACACTGCCTCCGGCCAAGTGCAGGGCCCTGTGTCAGCTCAGGGGTGCAAGAGCTGAACACCTTTTGCAAAAGCTATATTGGGAAGTATGGGCAGAAGACGTTGGGAGTTCAGGAAATGAAAGATTAACGGAGTGGGGTGGGGCCAGAGGTCTGAGGATGCTTGTGGTGGGGACAAAATATCAGCAGGTGGAGGGAGGGAAGTGTGTCCCAAGTGCTGTGACGTTCGCATGAGGGCTCGGGCTGGACAGGTGGGGACTGATATGACATCCAGTGAGGAGTGTAATTAGACCTCTCTTCTGAGTGCCTTTCTGGGGCCTAGAATTGGGCTGATTATGTCCTTGGTCTACACATGGCCCCCTTTCATCTTGTCTGTGTATTCGGACATTTTAACAGTTTGCTTGAATGTCTTTCCAGTTTTGCAAAGCTGAACTAAATGGGGTTTTCTGTTTTAATCTTCATTTCAGTGTCTACGTCATGGGCTTGGTCCTGGAGTGGATTAAGAACAATGGCGGTGCAGCGGCCATGGAGAAGCTTAGCTCCATCAAATCTCAAATGATTTATGATATCATTGATAATTCGCAAGGATTCTATGTGTAAGTCGACAGATTTTGTTTCACATTTTGCCTCATCTGAATCTGAAAATGTGTACACACCAGGGACTTTGGCAAGCGGATGCATTCACCCTGCTCTGGGACATGGGTGTGCTGGAGAGCTGAGTGGTTGTACATCCCCACCCTGGGAATCCCAGGCTTCGTGGTCTGTCTGCCAGTGGGGGTCACATTTTTTACATGGAACATGTCGTCCAGGGTGATCCCCTTTTCCCACTGCCTGCTTCCTCTGCATGCCCCTGGGGGAAAACACACACACAGACTTGCTGGCAGTTCTCAGCCTTATCTAGGAATTCATAACCAGGGGCTAAATGATGAGGCCTGAGCGGGAGCTGGGGGCCCCTGTCTTGGCTGAAAACGAAGGAAGAGCTTTTAGATGAGTTTGAGCCTTGAACGAGAGTATAATTAGGCAGAGAAGAGGGCAGAAGTATTTTTAGAAATTTTTAGGAAGTCAAGAAATGGCCCCACAAAGGCACCAAGAGAAGAAATTACAGTGTGTTTGGGGAGCAGAGGCTGGGCTGCCTGGAGGGATGGTTTGTGCTGGAATTGGAAAGAAAGTCTGTGGGAAGGTCTGAGGATATGTTTAATCTACTTGCTTATTTGCTCATCCATCCATCCCCACCTGTTTCACCCACCCATCTACCTACTCTCTATTCATCCATCGTTTTGAGCACTGACTTGGGGCTAGCCTTGTTCTAGGCTCCGGGGAGACTTAGAAGAGCGAGTCGTCTTTTCTGACTCCCCAGACAGTGCGCAGAACTCGAATGTGAGTGAAAGCACTTGCCGGCTATCGTGGAGGGGAAACCAATTTTTCTATTAGTTTTTGGCTCCATATATTTCTCAGGATGTGTATACGCACAAAATGGGAGGTGATGCATTGGAAAAAATCTAGAGAATTAGACACACAAAAAGAAGTGTAGAAGGAACACTGGGCATCCCCTGAATTTTTTTTCCAAGGTCCTTTAACTTCAAGCACCCAACCTGGGCATTTCCCAGAAGGCAGCCTGCCAAAGCCAATGTGTCAGGCCGGTCCTCTTGTGGGGAAGCTAATCACCTCCCCATTCAAAACCCCTGCAGCCGCTTACGAACAGCCTTGACCCAGAACTTGTATACTTTTCCAAGTAAACTTCTTTCTGGGAACTTCCATCTTCCTTCTGGGCCACCTGCCCAGAAAATGTCATCCCGGCTCATGACATTCCCGTGGGACCTGGTTATCCAAGCCAAGGTCAGGCTTTCACTCCCCCTCTCCTTAGTGGTTGCAGCTGGATGCTCACAAGTTGTCCTTGTACTCTCTTGGGTTTTAAGGAAATTCTTCACTTTTTTTTTTAAGACTTTGGAAATATGGCCCCAAAGGGGAGGGAGGTAGCCACTTTAAAGACACATGCCAAGTATAACCTCGTATTACCATTTGCCATTTACCACCACCTTTGTGTCTCACGGTTGTCTCCTGTGCTGTGCCTCTTGACTGGAAAAGGCGGCCCCTTTACTGAACACAGTTCTGGGCAGTTTCCTGGGAGTTGCACCAGCTCTGCCAGACTAGTTAAGACAACCATAGAAGTCCCTGCATTCATTCCATAGGTTAACCATCCACATGGTGCTGGCTGACCCCAAACTGAGCCCACTGGAGCAGTATAGCTTCTTGAGCTTAGAAACCTCTTTTTGTCACTTAACTAACTAGCATGTGAACTTGGGCAAATGAACTTGCTGCTCTAAACTCACCTGTACAATGGATGTAATAATGGTACCTACTTCTTAAGAGGATTAAGTGAAAATGCAGGTGAATAACAAGTATTTAACATAGGGGTTAAGTACATGGGCTCTTGAACTGGTTAATTGTGTAAAGCACTAGAAACAGTGCTTGGCACACAGGGAGCATTCCTTAAGAGTTAGCTCTTAATATTGTTATTTGGGAAAGCACTTAGGGTATTCCTGACATGGTGCTTATATTAGATATTAATTTTAATATTATAAAGCTGTCCAGAATTGGCTGGGCGGCTTAGCTGGTTGGAGTATTGGTCCATACACCAAAATGTTGCAGGTTCGATCCCCAGTCAGGGCACATACCTAGGTTGCGGGTTTGATCTCTGGTTGGGGTGCATATGGGAGGCAACCAATCAATGTTTCTCTCTCACACTGACGTCTCCCCCTACCTACCTTCCTCTCTCTCAAAAAAAAAAAAATAAAATAAAAATATTTTTGAGCAAAGATTAAAAAAAAAAAAGATGTCCAAGTGACAGAATCTGTAACCGTATCTGAGGTCACCTTTCTTACCATCTTCATGTGGGAACCAGGCCTAAGGAGGAAAGAGAGGGAAGACAAAAAATTCAGATTTTTCCATTTTCTTTGGGATTTTTCCATCCCCAAACTGACTGCTTCTCCCTGCTCAAGGATCCCATCCAGTTCCCAGCAGAGCATACCTTTGGGGCCTTCCACAGTCCCGGCCTGCCCTCAGCCAGGAACCTCACACTCGAGTCCTGGCGGAGAACCTGCCAAAGAACCTGCCGAAGGTCCCCTTGCCTTTGTAGATGCAAGTTCTCTGCTGGAATGCCTGTCCTTCGTCTCCCCCTGCATCCCGCCGCGCCGCTCTCCCCCCCCCACCCCCGCCCGCCCCGCCGGCCTAACCACTCCCATGTCCCCTTCTCTGAAACCTTTCTCCCCTCTCCAGGGCAGAATTCCTGGCTTGGCTCTACATCCGCAGCCCTTTGCTGCCACAGCACTCCTCACACGGAATTTTAATTCCCTACACAGCCTTCTCACTAGATTGGGAGCAGCGAATTCCCCTGAACCTTTTTTCCTCTCTCCTCAACCTACAGCAGCGAGCACTGTGTAAGAATTTGTTACGTGCCACTTTCATCTTTCGTTTCTGGCTTTCATGACATCATTGCTGTCATGATAATGTCCACTTTCATGATCGGATGATTAAACAGGGTTGGGAGGCGAGCTCTAAATTCAGATTCTTCACTCTTCCCCTTTTTAGGGCGGTTTTTTTTTTTTTTTTTTTCCATTTTTCTTAAATGAGCTCTGCTTTTTGGTGCTTCACCTTTGTAATTGGACCCTCATGTTGGGAGCCTGAGGCAGTAAAATATCAAAAGAGAGCAGCCACTGAATTTTTAACTTAAATGTCAGCCACGACACCTACCACTTGGTGAGAAAGGGAGGCCCAGAATTCAGGCTCAAAGCCTAGTATCAGATATTTGGTTTCCCTCCTTGCTTCTCTTTGTGTAGATGTGCACTTGACTGCTATTAGCTTTAACAGAAATTACGGGTGTGCCCTGCGGGGAGAGCATAACTTTTAATGGGGGCTCCCTCGCACTGCTTTTATTTGCTGTTTAATTTTAATGAATCCCACTCTGGAGAAATGAAAGGTTAAGACAGGATGTGCTTGAGAAAATGGAGAAAGAGGGTTGCTACGTATTTTACTTTTATTTTATTCCAGAGGAGCATGTCCGTTCCTCTTTCCTTTGTCTCGTTGGGTTGTCAGTGGAAAACAATTTTGGCTGCTTATTTTCCAAATCAGAAACTGAAGTCAAATCCTAGATAAAAAATTCCCTCATCAGTTTTGAGAGTCTGTGTAAGTCCTGTGCAAGGTACTGGGAATAAAAAGATAGATTGAATTTAACAGGTGCTTCTATCACATTTACTCTGTTCCAGACGCTGTTCTGAACTGTATCAGTTACCTGTTTTTGCCTCACAGAACACCCCGAGGCTGACTTAATAACCATTTTCTCCGCTCGGGATTCCTGGGGGCGGCAGGTGGCGCAGAGCTCAAGCGAGCAGTCCTGCTGCTGCCCTCCGCCGGGGCTGCTTACCCCACTGAAGTCATCCGGGGATGCCGCTGGAGCCAGTCGTCAAAAATGGCCTCAGTCCCCTGTTTGGGAGTTGGTGCTGGCTGTTGGTGGCGCCTGACTTCCAGCAGGCTGGGTCGGGCTTACTGATGTGGAAGCAGGGTTTTCAAAGGGCAGGCATGAAAGCGGAATGCCCCTTGCGACCGAGGCTTGGAAGTTGCATAGCATTGCTTCTCTTGCAGTCTCTCGGTCAGAGCAAGTCCCAAGGCTAGCCTGGGTTCAAAAGGTGTGGAGAACTAGACCCCACCCCCTGCTGGGAGGACTGGAGCGAATGTGTGGCCATTTAAAAATATACCACAAAAATTCTCTAAAAATATATGTAATCCTCACCTCAGCCTTGTGAGGCAGACTCCATTATCCTTTCTATTCTTCAATAGATGAGGAAAGTGAGACGCAACAGAGAGGTTAGTAACTTTGCTCAAGGTCACACAGCTTGAGACAGTGCAGTGCAACAAGATCTGTGAAAACTGCTGCTCATTATTTTGAAGTCTTTCAACCTCTTTGAGGACCAATATATTTTTTTCTCTGCAGCCTTGTAGAAAAAGCATCATTCATACTACAATGTGGCTGTCATGTGTTGGAAGCTTCATACATGTACCACTGAACTGTCACAACTAGTCTGAAATGCAGTTGTTATTATTCCCAGCATTCAGATAAGTAAATGAAGGAAGGCCCATAGAGATTAGTTACAAATCATACAAGAAAATGCTGACAAACTGTTCCATATGCAAGAGGGGTCTCCCTAAGTAGCTTATAAATGTCCTGGGGCACTTTTTTTAAATCTCCGGTTTGCATTTAGAAAATGTTTTAACTATTTTCTGTTCATTTGTTAATGACACACATTTCAGAAAAGTTGCTGGAATAATAAACCTATTTTTCAGATGTCCAGTGGAGCCCCAGAATAGAAGCAAGATGAATATTCCATTCCGCATTGGCAATGCCAAAGGGGACGATGCTTTAGAAAAAAGATTTCTCGATAAAGCCCTTGAGCTCAACATGATCTCCTTGAAAGGGCATCGGTGAGTACACATCCAGACCAGAAGCTCGTCAGAGAATGGGTTTAGTTTTTCAAATGCAGAATGAAACAGATCTCAGAGCCTGCCCAGCTTGGAGCAGCAGTTATTGTAACTTGGTAGGAAAACCAGTTGTCACAAGGATAATCCTTCTTCTTGTTGCCTAGAGCCCTTAGCGTGAGTCCCTTGTTGAGAGCGTGGTGGAGCCATGTATTCCAGGGACCTTTGTTAAAATTACCCTTGAAAATCTTTTAAATTGATGTTACAACACAGGGGTTACCATCCATGTCTGATGAGGCAGGTGCAACCCTGCTCAGTGTAAGAACAAACGGATCCCTGATGCTCCAGCTGCACATTAGGTTGAGTAGTTAATCCTGCTTGCGCTGTGAAAAATACATGCCCTCACCACACAAGAGGCAAGATGCCTGCCCTGCGGTGGTTGCCCGCTCCTTGCTTCCTGTTGAGTTCATCTAGGTTATGTGAGAGCTTGATGGACCTCCACTGCATTAGGGAGGATTTTCTAATGATTAGATGTCTGAATCTCCCAGCCACCTGTAGGGGTGACTGGAAAGAGAGTTTGTCTTGATGCTAAATTAGATGCTTTTGTTAAAGGCAGCGTCTTTGGTTGTTCTAGGTCTGTGGGAGGCATCCGGGCCTCTCTGTATAATGCCGTCACGATCGAGGATGTGCAGGAGCTGGCAGCCTTCATGAAGAAATTTTTGGAGATGCATCAACTGTGAATACATCCTGTCTAATATATACTCTACCCTTGAACAATGTCCAAAATTTAAAGTAACTTAATGGCTTCAAAAAATTACCCATGGTATTTTTCTCAAAGGAACATGCTTATTAGAGATTTTTCTTTTGTTTTTCAAACAACAACGAGATATACACAGCTGGTACTGCACAGCTGGTACAACAGACACCTTAATTTTGACTTGAACTGGAAGCATTTAAAAAATCTCACTTTAGCTTTTCTAATGATTCCAGCTTATGTTGTCTTTGCTGATACTTTTTCTAGCTAGATCTCAGTATTCAGACTTGCCTGTGGACTTACACAAAGTATTAATATTTCAAACTTGTAGCATTGAGGGTAGGTGGGGTTCGTTAGGTGCTGAATCTTGATCCTTTTCAAAATGACAGCAGTGGGGACTTCTGGGTTCCACAATTGTCAATTCAGGTCAACCTTGACCATGTGGTGAGTGTTTAGGAGTTGTAGGCTAAAGGGCCAATTAGAGATCTTTATACTGTTATTCTCATAAAGAGATAAAAGTGACATACCATATGTTTATATAGCAAGGTCTGTTTTTAATACCAGATAGTTTATATCTCTATACATTTATATTTCTAATGATGTGGTTTTCAATGATATATGTAGTGACTTTGGGAATTAGTTAGAATCCCAGACCTTATGTGTTAATAGCAGTATATTTTCAATGGTTTTTGTCTCTCTCCTTCCTTTTGAAGCTGCTTTAAGAGATTTAGGAGCTCCTCGATTCACTTTTATTTTCCTTTCAATAGGTGGAAGAGAAAGTTGGTTGGTTGGTTCTTTATTTTTCAGTTATGCCGTTAAACTAAAAAATCTCTGTTAAATTCCCTTTTGTTCAACTTGACTGTTCTCGTTATAGTGTTTGCCCATAGTGATGCTATAAGTTCTGGAAAATCCTTGCTGAAGAGTCTTTTCCTCTATTATTCATCCATTGTCAGTATTTTATGTTGAATACGTGAAGGACATTAAAGTTCTGAAACACCTACACCTTTTTAAGTGAATTTCTTTACCTGCTTTTTAGACAGGTTTGGTTTTTTTTTTAACTTTTTTTTTCTTTTTTAAACTTTATAATGGGAAAACTTGAGTCTAAAAATATCTTCTGTTAAGGGTATTTAATTTAGTTCAACCAAATATGTAAGACTTGAGTTCAGTGGATGCATTAAAAAAAAAGAAAAAGAAAAGATTCAGCACGCTGTGCTAGCTTTTTATTGGCTTTTAGAATGGACATTATCACCAATGCCACCTTCCAACACAGCTCATGGTGTAACGTTCCATGACTTCTGTTCTTGGGTCAGAAGCATGACAATAGGATGGTTTTGAGCTATCACTATGCTTCACTGGATTGTGTAATGAGGACTGTACTTATCTCTCATCCTAGGTTATTTGGATTCCCCTGGTCAGGACTAGACCTCCCAGCCTTGGTTTTCTCATATCTCAAAGGAGGATTGAAATAATTACCCTACTTATCTCAGGGATGTTGAAGAATTTACAAGCTTAATTCAGGATGTGAATAATAACCACAATAAATGTTTAAATAGCACAAGCCAGCCAGTCCATGGAATCCAGCTAAGTGTTCACAAATAATAGAGTCAACCTCTTCTTCTTCTTTTTTTTTTGTTTAATCCTCACCTGAGGACATGCTTACTAATTTTAGAGGGAAAGGGAAGGAAAGACAGGGAGAGAACCATTGATGTGAGAGAAACATTAATCAACTGCCTTTCACTGGGGAACTGACTGGGGACTGGACATACGACCTAGGACCTGGGTATTTGCCCTGACCAGGAATTGAACCCACTACGTTTCAGTTCATGGAATGACACTCCAACCAACTGAGCTACACCAGCCAGGGCCTTCCTCATCCTTTTCATATGACGGTTGCAAGTCCCTGTTGCAGCCGCAAGTTCCTCAGTATCCACTTACCTCCATTCCCATTGCCATGGCCAGCTCTGTTGTTGGCCCTCAGCAGACTATTCCAGCAGCCAGTTGGGCTATTAATTCCCCTCGTACTCCTCGATACAAATTCCAGGCTACCTGGCCCACCAACTGCAGCTTTGTAGCATCATGGCTTCTTATATTTATGGCTCTTAGAATGTGTCATGCATTTGCCCGTGCTATGACATGTTAGCCTGGAAGGCCTACCCTTACTCGTCAGGATCAACCTTCCTTCAAGACACCTGTCACCCTGACCTTGTTCTCTCCTATAGAACGATGCTCTTTTCCTGTTCTTACATGGGTGACCCATTTATTCCATCCCACTGCCTTCATTCTGTTCTTTACTGCAGTGGGGTGCCTGCATATCTGCCTTCTCCGCCAGAGCAGCAAGGGAGGAGCCATGTTTCTCCACCGCCATCTCCTGGCATCCTGCCTTGCCCTGGGATGGTGTTCAACAGCGGTCTGTTAATGAATGAAAAGTCTAACATGGTCATGTTGGTCTTCCTGAGTTTTTGCAAACAGGCTGGAGTAAAAGAAAGAGTTATAACCTCACATACATGTTTGTTTCTTTGTTTTTAATTTTCAAAAGCTTTGTATACAACTTAATTTTCCATTGAAACGACCAGATATGACTGGTTGAGTGAGTACATTTCAAATATTGGAGGGCTCCCAGACTCAGCCTTATAAATCTGAGAGCTTTTGGAAAATGGTCAACAACTGCCTTCATCCAAGTACACAGGGTAGTCCCTATTGTCTGGATACAGATTGCTGGGAGATACTGAGTGAAAACCTTGACTTTTATGTGTCTCAAGTGAATGAACAATGCCAGTCTGCTAACCACATGGAGAGAGGTGGAAGGCCGCATTTGCCAGACCAGCTGTCCTGTTAAGATCACCAGCTGCGTAGACAAACCGGTGCCTTGGGGAATCTATAAGGAGTGCTGGCCTTGTGTTCCTTTTGGATCCTCTTATTTGTATCCCCGGCCCCAAACTGAACTGGAAGTTTGATTTTCCTCTCAATATTCTTGACAACACATAATCACAATGTTATTCAAGTGAGAAAAAAGAAAATTGTTCCCATGGTCTTTACTACCATATACTGCTTTGTCTCTAACACTGGTTCTGTTTTTTGCACAAGAAATGAAATTGTGTTCTGTCCCTAAGTCTTCATTCTCCTGCTGAGTCTATTTCAATATCTAATGCTGTCTCATCACAACTTAGCTGATGCTGGATGTTTTGCTGAGCCCTTAGGTGAACTCTGTGGTGTAACAAATAATTATTTCCTTCCTCTAGAGCTGAAGGAGCCACTAAGACCCACCCAGATCTGTTGCTAGATGTCCAGATCTGCCCAAGGCATTAGCAGGTCTGGCCTTGCATCACTCCGTGATTAATATTTGTTGTATCATGTTCCTCAGAAGGAAAGTAAAGAATTTTCTCATTCGATGGGAATGAACATAATTAGAATGTGAAATACTACTGGGTCTGCAAAGAAATCAATCACTTTAATTGGAAAGAAGATTCCTTGCCTCCATTGGTAATTGGGCTCTTGGTAATTTAAAATCTGAATCCATGATAATTTGTGATAAATTGGCTCCTTTTGGGATAAGGGTAAAAAGTTCTAATTACTTTTGGGTTATTCCAAAGTGGATGGAAAAGCTTGATCAAAGAGATACTGGGAAAGAGAAAAGCTACTGGGAAAGAGAAAAGCTAACAATGAGCATAGAGTTACTAAATTTCTTTTTAAGAGGCTAATGGATGAAATAGTTCATTTGATGTGACAAAAACAAGAGCCTGTATTCTGGCCAGGTAGCTTAGTTGGTTAGAATGATGTCCCGATATGGTGAGTTCGATCCCGGTCAGGGCACACACAAGAGTGAACAAACCAGTGAATGAGTAAGTGGCACAAGGTATTGGTGTTTACCTAAAATCAATAAATAGAAATTAACAAAACAAAACAAGAGCTTGTGGTATTTGAGGTCCCAAAGATGTAAGTTGGATTTTCTAAGAAAATAGGGAATTCAACATATAAAAAGTTTTCGTACATCAAAGTTCTATACTTAGGTTATAGAAATTAGCCGTGTAAGTGCATGACGATATTGAAAGTTTTGGACCTTCCTTGGGGAAAATCAGATTTTGTGCTTTGAGTATTAAATATATAAGTAATAGGCACCAAATTTAAGAAAATCCAAAATGTTTTATTTAAGTGAAAACATAATTTAACTTAGTAGATGTGTAGACAGGGCTCTAATTGATGAACCTGTTAACTAGGTCACTGTTGGTGTTTTAGCTTTTGTTTCTATAGATTAAGAATACCTGAGGAATAAACTGGATTTTAGATTGATGCACTAGGTTATAATATTTTGAACTAAGTGTGTTTATTTTCTATATTTATATACATATAGATATATATGTATAGATAAATATAATTTCAAACTTGGAGAAAAGTTGTAAGATAAGTATAAAGAACTCACATATGCTTTATCTAGATTCATCAATTATTAACATTTAGCTTCATTACTTTGTCATTTACTCTCTCCATATATACATTTTTTTTCCCTGAACCACTTAAAGGTAGGTAGGAGACATTGTGCTACTTCTAAACAGTGATGATTTCCTAAGTCTGATGATATTCTCTTACATAACCACAGCACAGTGCTCTGAGTCAGAAATTTAACATAGATGCTGATGACTCATCTACAGTCTTCTTCAAATTTTGCCGCTATTCCAGTAACGTCTTTTATAACTTTTTTTTTTCTTTAGCTCAGGAACCAGTCCACAATCATGCATTGCAGTCATGCATTGCAATCATGCCTAGGCTTATGTCTCTTTAGCCTAATATGAAACAGTTCTTCAGCATCTTTGTTCTTCAGGTTATTGGCAGCTTGTAAAGAATATAGAACGATCCCCTGTTTGGGTTTGTCCTCTGTTTACTCGTAATTGTTTCAGGTAATGCGTTTTTGGCAATGGACCATAGAAGTGACACTATGTCCTTCTCAGTGCATCCTAATGGGAGACATCTGATGTTTGTGTGTCTCATTGGTGTCTTGATTAAGGTGGTGTCCCTGAGGGTTCTCTGCTGGCAAGTTATTATTTGTCTCTTTGTAGTTAATACGTAAATTATGGAGAGGTATTTTGAGACTATGCTCTTCATCAAACTTTTCCCTAAAAAGGATAATATAGGTAGATTTATTTGATGTAGAAGGTGAAGTAATGGGCTTATTTTCCACCAGGTTTTTACAACCTACTTCCCTGTCCCTCAATGGAAAAAAATCCTGAAATATAAGCAAAGGTATACAAAAAAGTACATTGGGGAGTCAAAAGCCAACAGTTAGAGGGGGTGTGTGTGTGTGTGTGTGTAGTCCAGGAGCCCTGAGAGTAACAAACATATTCAAACATATTTTGAGAATGTGAAAAGTGTGGTCAAGTGTGTTTTTGTTGAACCAGGAAAGCAGGGAAAGAATCTCCTGATCAGGATGTAGGGAACAACTTGTAGAATTTTCTTTCCTGTTCAAATGCATTTTTTTTTCCTCAATATTTTTAGAAGCACAGACCTTTGGCAGCACAGACCTCTAACCTAATAGCTAGATCATAAACCACACAGCCTGATAATACTTTGAAAGATGTTGTATCACAGCCTAAGTAAAGTTTTTTCTGATGATCCTAGTCTAGCAAATAGCCCCAAGAGAAAAATAATATCTTGGCTACATCAAGCCAGGTAAAAAGCCAAAGTCATGTTAAATGCCTGAGAAATAAAACGAGTTTGAAATACAAGAAATACAGGGAGTTACAGGTCATCCTGGGGGCGGGGGAGGATAGCCGTTATCCAGCTGAGTGAAAGGTGCCTACAGGCTGAGTTATTCCTTCCTGCTCCCTTCTCCTACCTAAAAACCATAGTTTCTTTGCATTGAAAGTCCAGGGGTTGAAGCAGAATCTTCAGGAGTTCTTGGCAAATGACAGGTGAGCAGGTTAGTAAACTCGGGTAGCAAGCATTCTGTTATAAAATACATTGGGGGAAAATACTTCTGAA